TTCTAATATAAAACGCTCTTGAGACAGAGTTATCGGCGGCTCGGCCGCCAGCGGTCGAGCGGTAGTGGGGGAACAGGAGGCGTCGTCTCGGGAATCGGCCCGAAATGTGCAACTAATTCCGAGCGCTGTTCTATAAAATTAAAAATTTTTTTTAAATATTTAAAAAATAAAATATTTAATTAAAAATAAAAAATATAAAAATTTAATCAAAATAAAAAGATATTTATTAAAAACGCAAAAAACTTGGCGCTGCTATAGTAAACTACATGTTAATTTCATTGCTTTATAATACTTTGTGGTGTAGCAGCGCCAAGTTTAGAAAACATTTTCCTTAGTAATTATGTTAGGCTTGGGTGGTTTAAATATCATAAAGTAAAAAACCAATTATGTACCTGTACACTATATCTGTACACTATATTTCTTTTAAATAAGAAACAATGCAGAAAACAAATTTCACAAAAACGTTAATAAAGTTTGGTTTTAAGTTTAGAGAAAGAAAAATGGTATGATCGTATTTTACAGTTTTCTTCTCGACTTTGCGTTAGCGAGTGACTGAATTATTTCGTCTGTATTAGATTATATAAAGATTTTTCGCCCTGCGTTTTTCGATGGATATAATACTTAGATTTGACAAGCAATGTTGAGACATGGTGCTTCTTAGATAATTTTTAATAATTTTTAATTTGGAAAATGTTCGCTCTGCATAAGCAACTGTTACAGGAAGAGTGAGAAACAATATACACTGTATATTATACAGGCTGTACAGAGATCGGAAAAATTCGTAGTTAGTAGATAATTCTCTACTATTAAAAACTTTGCTACTATTAAAAAATTTTGCTAAATTATATACTGTTTAAATTCACTGAGTTTATTTCCAAATAAAGTTTTTAACTGTATAATTTGGTTTGCAAGATTTAGTGACATCTGCATACTTTTGAACTAGTTTTAAAGCAGACTGTTCAAGCTGTTCTTCAGTTAAAATGTAAATATTTTTAGGAATAATAGATGAAAAAAGACTTGCAATTTCTTTTAAACTTTGAAAACGTGTTGTCAATTGCGAAATCATTATATCTATTTTTCTATAAAAAATTTGCGTTTAAAAATATTTTCTCGCATCCAATAATCTTTCGTCAAAACTTAATTCGTCTGCAAATTTCGGAACTTCTCTTCTTCGTTTTTATTCAAAGATGGGCTGAATTCTTCAAGACCTTGCCATATTTTCTGCTTTTTCTAATATTTTGTCAAAATTTGCACGCATTGCTTGTAATGTTCTTAAAGCCGTTCCAAACAAATCTTACTAAGCTCACATTCGGGTAATTGCAACAATAGGGATACTGTGTTTAGTGAGTTTAAGATTTTAGCTTCAACGACTAGAATTACTATCACATTAAAGTTTTCAAAGTATTTTTGAAGACTAGCTGCTTTGTTCTTTTCGCTGTTATTGCGGCCCATAAGAGTTATGTATGCTAATACTTTCATTATATCTGAATACAGCAACCGCAGTGCCAACAGCGAATCATTCCGGGAAGACCAGCGTGTAAAACACAATTTCTTTAATGAAATGTTAATAGAACTTTCAGATTTTAAATGTGCCCACCTTTTAATGTTATTGGCAAAAAATGTGTAAAGACTCTCAAATTTGTCATAAAAATGATTGATTTCAGTTATATTTTTCACTGACAATGAATCATTAATAACTAAATTAAGATTGTGAGCCGCACAATGTACGTATAAAGCAAGTGGCTGCACATTTTTAATTCGTTTCTGCAAACCATTATATACTCCACTCATGTTTGCAGCTCCATCGAATTGTAAGAAGTGTGATGATTGCAATAAACTTTCCTTTATTTTTACTCTCTTCATTTTCCCTGTGTCCTCTTAGACTAATATCCTCCGTTGCCAAAGTTAATATTACATTTACGATTCTATGAATTACTTGCCTCCAATACGACTCATCTTGCCTGATTTGCTTTTCAAGTTCTTCATTTACAGTCTTGTGTGAACTGCTTAAAAGATAAACAAGCATCTTTATGTGATTGAGAATTTTCGTGTCTCTCAATTCCATGTCCTATGTGTTTCCAGTCACAATATCCCTCTGTCGACCACTTGTTGTTTTAAATTTTTCTTTCCAAAAAGCCAGCATGGTTGACAGTAACATTTATGCAAAGTCGGAGAATAGCACAACCAAGGTCTTGTAATTTTTAAACCAGACTTTGTAATTTTTGAATAAAAAGATGTGTGAAAACAACGACCTTCGACATTTTTCTTAAACGGACTAATTGGTCTGTATGGGCCTAATTTTATAATAAAATATTTGTCCTCAGTACTCAAAGAAGTTTTCTTTTGATAATGCGCAAAACCAATCGGATATTGTTCTTTAAGCATATTTATTAAATTTTGATCAAACTCTGCAAACGTCTCGGTTGGTTCTTCTTCTTTTTCCGAATCGCTTTTTGTTTGTTGATTACATATAGATATGCCTATAATGTAAATGTTTTATTTATAAAAAATAAAAATAGATAAAAGAAAAGTACTTACTTGGTGTTTCAAGTGCAGGGCCGACTGTGTTATCTTTTGCCAAATTTTTGGCACATTCAGATTCAGAATTGAAGTGGAAGAAGAAGCAACTTCAGATTTTGAAAAGTAGTTTGTTACTTTCGGTAGTTTTAATAGTTTTTCTTTTAATTCCTGGACCTTTTTACGTTTTTGGGCCCCACTAAGTGGTTTACTCATTTTGGAACAATAAACTGATTACCCATACAGCACACAAAGATTGCATACACATTGCATCAATCTTTCATTGCAATGTTGCAATATTGCAAATTCACTGCAAAATGTTGCATCATTGCTGTGGGATTGCAGCAACGTTAAAATGTCCGCTTTTAGGAAGATTGTAACGAAATATTACAGTAATATTGCAATGTAATGAATTTGCAATAATGCATTGTTATTGCAATCTCAGAATAATGTTGCATATATTTTTATTTATTCGGACATTTATCTGTCCGATTTTTGAACAATCAGTTCAATATCTGAATTCCCTGTGTTGAGGTCGTATCAGAAAAATTAAATTGATAAAAATAATTACTATGTCTTTAATCTTACTAGCCACTCTTTGCAAGTTTCATATAATCATCATGACTAAAACTTAAATACGAGATAGATTTTGCAACGTGCGTCGCATAGCGGTAAACGAACGAACTAGCGATTACCGAATATTGCTATTGCAATGTTATTAGAATGTTGCTGTCACATTCTCATGAAACATTACAATTACAGGTTGCAATAATGTCTCAACAATATTACATTGCAACTTGCAAGATTGTAACATTGCTGCAATGTAATTGCAATGTTCTGTGCTGTATGGGTAGGTACTTACGATTATAATTAAACAATAATATTACGATTACGAACTGACACAAATGACAAAACAGTATTTCCATCTATAACGTTATAGCTTGGAGGTCCTGGACTCAGCGATGTTAACTTTTTCATTTATTTTCGTAGACGTATGGCATTGGTCATTTGCATTAAAGCCAGTGAAATATTTTAATGGATGCATTCTAATGGAAATAACTTTGTATCTACGGAAAAACAAATGAAAAAGTTTATATCGTTGCCTGGACTACATCAGTGTAGTAGGCAGTGCGGTTGTCAGCGCACAACATAGCGGAGCGCGAGCGCCGATCAGACCAATCAACTTGTAACATAAATTTGTAAATAAATTTGTAAATTTATCTTACCACTATTTGTTAAAAGTTTGAAAAAATTATATTTAAATTCTAAATTTAATCTTCAAATGTTGTTATCACAGTTTTATAAACAGAACATTTTAAAATCTTGGCTTACTAAAATAACAAAGTATCAGAAACAGAGCGGAACGTAAAGTGCAACTGCAATACAAATTCGGAAATACGAAATTTTATTTTTAATTAAACTGTCAAATAATTAGATTATATCAAATGATAACATTAATCGATAAAATTAGATCTTTTTTTTGCCTTAAGTTTAATCAAGTCATTTCTGATAGATTTTTTAGCGCTGACGAATCTGGCTGTAAAAATGGCGTATCATGTCAAGTTTTTTAGAAAACCTTACAATCAGTCAAAGTTGCTAAAATAAACATTTTTAATACTTTTGCGTGAGTTATATCTTTCGATAGAAATCTACTGGAAACAACTTATAGAATGTCAAGGCAAATGGTATTGGACAGTGTAATTAAAAATAAAATTAAACAAGGTATTGTCGACTTGACTTCGATATATTTTCGAAACGGGGCCCTACCAAAACGACCCCGTTCGGGGGCCCGGGGTCCGCACGTCCCCTCTCCCGCGCCCCCTCCCCCCCCCGGTAGTTACGCCGCTGTTTTACATACACTCCAGAGACGCGGTCTCTAGGACAATAGTAATTTAACAAATAACAATAGTTAAAGTTTTACTTCATAGATGTAAATTTTTTTATATTATTTTTCGACACAAAACATTAAAAATTCGAAAATTTTATTCGTAAAAATTCAATAATTTTAAAAGTATACATCGCGGTAACTCAGCCACATTCGATTGCAACCCTGTGGAATAGAAATACGGATTATTATTATATTAGGATATTGTTAAAAAATTGTCAATATTGCTTTATAATATTTGTAATAAAATTTTATACCTATAATGATTTCAGTTATTAATTAAAGTATTTAATTAAAGAATCGTATAAATAATAGTTCGTCATTTCGATATTTCGTGGGGAGTGGGCGATTGTTCAAATGTATAACCATTAAAAAATCATTATAAAATCGAGTTCTGGAAAGCCGAACGGCGAGTACGCTGTCTGATGGTGCTCAGCGCTTACGGAGCTATCATTGACGGCGTCGCATGTTTTTTTCTTATAAAATGCATATTTCCGCAAATTTTCAATGAATCAATCTGAAAATTTCTAGAAACCTTGCTTCAATAGTGAGGAATAAATGTCTCACTAAAAGTTGTTTCAAATTTTAAGTTCTCTCGATACTTTTTGTCGGCGAAACTAAAAAAACGTGGTTACTGACTGGCCTCAATTTGCAATTATTATTATTAAACAATAGGCGATTTTCAGCTTCTTTATTGTTTTGTAGGCATCGCTAGACTATACTGCATGCGTATACTAAATTTCAAACAATTTCAACAAAATTTGGCCAAATTACGACGATTTATATCTTAAAATCTGATTGAATTAAAAGATAAAAATTTTTCAGTTTTTTATTTTTATTATTAAAAATAAGCATCGAACAAAAAAACTGCAAATAGAAAAAAGTTCCGTCTCGTCATTTTCTACAAGCCTATATTAAAAAAAAATTAATTTTGCGACTTTTAAAATTTTCATGCCCCGAGACGTTTGGACAATACTTTTACAGGATTTCAAGCGCTGAGCGAGTTCTTTGATCCGCGCCCTCAATTGAAACGAGTAAAAGCATGTTGGGACATGCAACGCGAATAAACCTATATACAGGGATATAGTTGTCCTACAACTTCCGCAACAGCGAAAAGGGGCATATTCCTGACGAAGAATAGATTCATAATACACAAAAATTAATGCTTAGGCTATAAAATGTAGGAGTAATTAAAGGTTGAAAGTGACTAATAGGAGAGTGGAACGTGACACATTTATTTGAAAATTTGGTAAATACTCATGACAAGTATTGCTAAGTTTATGTTGCGTCGCTATTGGTTGTTGAATTGTACAAGGAAGCGATTTTGATATTTATTTTTATCAATATGATATTATCATGGAGTACACCGCAGAAAAATATTTTGAAATGTTAATAATTTACGGAGAGTGTGATCGTAATACTGCAGCTGCAGAACGTGAATACTCAGCACAGGTTACAATCTTATATGCTAAGGATCAGTTAAGTAAGTTGTTCACGTTAGCGTACTTAATTAATAATAATTTTTAATTTTATAAAAATAGGAGCAAATTTATAGCACATAATTGTTTGGATGTTTGTTGTTACATGTTATTTAAATAAAACCACTATTTAATGATTTAATAATTTTTAATTATTATTTATAAATATTTATTATAATTAGACTGCTGTATACAAGTGAATATATTTTTAAGCACATTGCAATTTTAGGAGAAGTTAATAAATATTAGCAATAATGTATGTATGCGTATTAACAGCAAGTAAGAGAATAGATTTATTTTTGAAGAAAAAGTCTATTTTAAAAATAAAAATAAATTTTTTAAGATATTGTAAATAAAGCAAAAAAGTTTTAATAGTAAATAATTGCAAATATGGCAAAAATCGTTATTTTTAGCATACATTTTTTTAATTTTGTCAATATTTGATATACACATATGAATATCTTTTAAAGTTGAACTTGTATTTAGCACATAAAAAGTTATTGAAAGTTATTCTTCTTACTGAAACATACTATGCAATACAGTGATACAGGTCCAAATTTTTCGAATTTTGTTTGTTTTTATGCACGGATTGTATTCTAAATACATCGGTCTTCGATAAGGAAAAGTGATAGAAGTTGAACTTAAATACTTTTTGCGTGAGTTCGCTATGTTTAACGCTGCCGTAAATAATTAATTTTAAAATTATTATTAAAATCATAATAAGTACCTACAAGTCAATAATGATATGTACACAAGAATAAAAGCACAATATTTCGTTATTATTCTATAAATAATTTAATATCTCCTATGATTATCATTGTGTGAAGAATATTAAAAACAATTAAGAGTTTCATAAAGCATAGATTTTATTTGAAATCAGATATACTAAATTGTACTAACTAGTTCTTTTACATATTCACGTAGATACTGAATATAATACTCACTTATATTGCACGTGAACTGAAACAGAGATCGTGAAAAAGCCTGTAAGGAATTTCGAACGCTATGACAAAATATTTGATTTTTATGAAAAGAAAGTATATACATATACTTTATAATATGTAGAATAATATAAAAAAAATATATTTTATTAACAAATATATTTCATGTTAAAATAATAAGATTTACAAAATTTAAAAAATTTTTATCGAAGAATAAAAAGGAAAAAAATTTTGAAAAAGTTAAAAATTAACAGAATTAATAATTTTCCTGTATCTTTTAGAATAATCAAAATTTTTAAATAACTTATTCACTTATTTACTTTTATATTATAAAATTTGTAAATATATCGCATACCCATAAGACAAGTGATACAAATCGAAATTTTTCGAATTTTGTTTGTTTTTATGTATGGATTGTCTTCTAAATATATCTATATATAGGTCTTCAATCAGGAAAGGTGATAGAAGTTGAATTCGAATACTTTCCGCGTGAGTCCGTATTTAATGCTGCCGTAAATATTGTAATTAATTTTAAAATTATTATTTAACCAAGCATAGACATGTGAAATTATGTCCGTAAAATCAAGCTCGCTTTAGACGATTTATAATTTGCGACAGAGTTTGAGATAAAAACTAATTCATAATATTATTAATAACATTATTATTCGTTATCAACGCAGTTTCTTCCTTTCTTTCTCCTAAATAATTTGTTATTTTTTTATTTGTGTCACTTTTCTTGTGGTGTGCGATATCTAAAATATTAGTAAACTTAATATAAACATATTGACAAAAACAATAATTATATTTTATAAAGCGAGTTTTCAAAGTATGGCCTTACACGTTCAAATTTCCTTAATGCTTTCTTTTTACTGTTCTTTTCTCTTATTCTCTTTTTCTTTCTTTTTTTTTCTATCACAACATGAAGATATTTACAAAGAAAAAAGCAATTGCCACATGACAATGTTTGCCATGCAAAAATGTTCGCCATATGGATGCTTAATTCATATTGTCGGTTGTCAGTGCAAGTGTAGTAAGCACTGATCGTCGGTTTGGGTTCACACCCAAATTTTCCCAATTTATCCAAGACAAACGTGCTGTTAGATCTGTAACAATAACCGCAATACTTAACGCCTTAATAAATATCGTAATATTGTATAACTTGTAATGTAACACGTAACTCTTAATTTTTCCGCTAAATATTTACAGTAATAGGCACATCTTTGATGATTTTAACTTTGATATACTGTGTAAAGATGAGTGTAAAGATATTGTATAAATGTTGATTACGTTTGTTTTCTTTTAATTGGTTCGTATGATTTTTAATATATATAATAAAATTTATATATATATATATATATATATATATATATATATATATATACG